TACCTTTCACTCTCCAGAGGAGCAGGAGAAAATGAAGGGCCGGGGAGACCTGGGGTGTCTGTTGACTCTGCAGCACACACATCTGTGCTGAGGTCTGCTTTGGTTCCGGCTGAACCCATTGTTCAAAGTTACGAGTCCAATTAAGCTAGTTGCTCCAGCTGAGAAAATAGTTTGCTTTATTTCTTCACTCAACTAGCAGATTAATTTCTTGAATCCGATTGGACCTGTGATATTCAGTTGTGCCAGGAGACTGAGTTTGGGTCACCTCTCTCCTTGTGTGTTGGGATATCCAAGCTGGAGATGCTCCACAACCTTCATGTATCACCTGAGGGCAGACAATTATGTGGGAATATGAAATATGGAATGTTTTTGTCAGATATGATTAGGCATGCCAGATTATTTTTTTGGTAGATGTGATACCAAAAAAGAAGTATTGGACATACTTCTACTAAAAACGTATTTGTCGTTTACTTAAATTCAGTATTTTTACTTGCTATGTCCAGGAATCCTAGATGAGGCTAGAATTGTCCCAGAGACATCATCCTCTGTTGCCATTTCTCAAAACAAAAAAGATGATTTAAAGGTCTGTGAAAGAATATCTGTGGTACAATAATCTCAAAAATGATAAAATACTTAGGAGTAAAATTTAACCAAGGAGAGGTAAAATCTCTACACTGAAAACTATAAGCCACTGATGAAACAAGTTGAAGACACAAATAAATGGAAAGGTATCCTGTGTTCATGATTAGAAGAATGAATACTGTTAAAATGTCCATAATACCCAAAGCCATGTGTAGATTCAACGCAATCCCTATTAAGATTCTAATGGATTTTTTTTTACAAACGTAGAAAAACAACCCTAAAATTTATATGGAACCACTAAAGACCACAAATAGCCAAAACAATCTTGAGAACGAACAGAGTGGGAGACATCACACTTTCTGATTTCAAGATATACTACAAAGATATAGTAATCAAACAATATATTACTGGCATAGAAACAGACACATAGATCAATGGAACAGAACCAAGAGCCCAGAAATAAACCCACACATTTACAGTCAACTAATATTTGATGGGGGAGCTGAAAATACGCAATGGAGAAAACACAGTCTCTTCAATAAATGGTGCTGGAAAAACTGGATTGTCACATGTAAAAGAAGAAAACCAGACAGACCCTTATCTTACACCACTCACAAAAATTAATAACTCGGAATGGATAAACGACTTAAATTTGACTGAAAACTATAAAACTCTAGAAGAAAAAATGGAAAACAGCTCCTTGACTTGGGTCTTGGTAATGACTTTTGGGATATGATCCCTAAAGCACAAGCAACACAATAAAAAATAAACAAGTGGGATTGCATCAAACTAAGAAGCTTCTGCAGAGCAGAAGAAACCATTAACAACAAAGAAAGGGAAAACATATTTTCAAACCATATGTTTGATAAGGAGTCAATATCTACATTATATAAAGAACTCACATAACTCAATAGCAACCCCCCCCCACCCCCCGAATACAGTTGACCCCAACAACACGGGTTTGAACAGCACGGGTCTTCTTATATGCAGAGGGCGGACTGTGTGCATTGTTCTACACCATTTTATGTAAGAAAGTTGAGCATCCTCAAATTTTGGTATCCAGTGGGGACCCTGGAACCAATCCCCCACAGATACTGAGGGCCAACTGTAGTTGAGTTTGGGGGGGTTTGGTCAAAATTTATATGTGGATTTTTGATTGCACAGCAGAGGGTGGTCAGCACCCCTAACCTGAATTATTCGAGGGTCAACTGCAATCCCATTTAAAAATGGGCACAGAAGCTGAATAGACATTTTCCCAAAAGAAGATATCCAAATGGCCAAAAGGTGCATGAAAAGCTGCTCAACATCATCAGAGGAATTGAAATCAAACCGCAGGGAGGTATCACCACGCACCTGTTAGAATACCTATCATCAACAAGATAAGAGATAACCCGTGATGGCAAGGATATGGAGACAAGGGAACCCTTGTGCACTTTTGGGGGGATTGTAAACTGGTACAGCCACTATGGCAAACAGTATGAATTTTCTCAAAAAAGTAAAAATATAACTACCACATTATCCAGCAGTTCCACTTCTGGGACTATATCCCAAGGCAACAGAACACTATGTTAAAGCGATGTCTGTACTTCATGTTCAAAGCGGCCTTAGCAGTATTATTCACAATAACCAAGACATGTTAACAACCTAAATGTTCATTGCTGGGTGAATGGATAAAGAAGTTGTGGTACGTAGGTATGTTTGTATATGCATATACACACCCTGGGTAGTTATTCAGCCATAGAAGGAGGAAATCCTGCCATGTGAGAACATTTGGATGCATGGATGGACCTCGAGGGCATTATGCTGAATAAAATAAGTCAGACAGTGGAATCTTGAAAAAGAAAACAAAACTGAAAGTCATAGAAAAAAAGACCCTACTTGTGGTTATCAGAGGCAAGGGTGGGTGTGGAGGGGGAAAGGGCAATGAGAGGAAGGTGGTCAAAGGTACAGAGCTCCAGTTGTAAGATTAGTCAGTGCTAGGGGTGCGATGCACAGACAACGCCAGTTAGCCCTGCTGTGTGTGTATAGGAGAGCTGCTAACAGGGTAAATCCTACAAGTTCTCATCACCAGGAAACAATTGTTTTTGTATCTATATGAGGTGATGGATGTTCACTTACCGTGGTAATCATTTCACAGAAGTCAAATCATTATGCTGAATACCTTCAACTTATACAGTGCCGAATGCCAAACATATCTCAGTAAATCTGGAGGAATGGAGACTCTCAGAGACCAGCACGGTACTTCATGATTCTTGTTGAATCACCTTACTCAGAATCCACACAGATCCGACTTGGACGCCTATTTCCACGCCTTCTGTGATGCTCTGAGCTGTGGGAAGGGCTCGTGCACTCTGGAATGTACCGCTCAGCCTGCTTTGCTTTGATCCCCCTTTTACGTGCACACCTAGGTTCTCCAGTGAGATTGCAGACACGCCGGGGCAGGAACGGTGTCTTCTTTGTATGCTGGCATCCCTAAGACCAACAGGATGTCTGGGCACCAGTAGGTGCTCAGGAGGGTGACAGATGACCATGAAGGTGGGACGTAAGCACTTCGGTCTGAAAGCCAATGACAGTTCTAGTGATCTCACTGGGAGTGAGGCCGGAGGCCAGTGGGGTACCTGGTGTGGAAACAGAGCGCATCTGTGTTCTCGGAGGAGTCCACGAAGCCCTTCTGTGGTCTGCTCCAGAGCAAACGCGCTGTCCTTGACCGCCGCAGCGGCGCCTGCCCTGCCACCTGTCCGCAGGCCGCTGCCAGGGTGTAATTGTACCGGGTGTTTTGAAAGGAAGCTTGAGTTAAATAAGGCCCTGGCAGAGTCAGGAGGGCCAGCAGAGCCTTTTCTTACCTGTTAATGAAGCCTCATTAGAAACAGCAAGAACCTGCGCTGAGAACTGGACGCACCAGCCAGCCTTGGCTTTCGCTGCCAAAGGATGATTAATGTAATGATTTACGGCAGCTGCTTTTGGAGATTACAGAGCAGGGGGGACTGGTGTGTGCAGTCCGGCCCAGCGTGCGGGCCGGTGGAGACTCAGGAGGGGGTGCAGATTCATTCTCCTCTCCTTCCAGTGGCTGAAACAGCTTCCAGGTTCTGGGAAACGCATGGCCATTCAGACACAGAAGTACCTCCTTTGGATGGCTGACCTTTCGGGGCCCTCCAACTGTGTGTAGCTTAGGGATTTCAGTCTTAGCTGGGGAGCAGCAAAATTAATTATAACAAGAAAGGAAAAAAGCAGAGCTTCATGCATGGTACAGGCAACATAGCTAGGCCGGCTGCATACTGTGCCTTCCAGGGGGGCCCTTGTACCCAGTGTTTAATTACGGGCACCCCTGCAATGTGCAGCTAAGGATGGATTGGTGCTTTGCTGAAATGTAGCATTAGGGGGTGTCTTGCCTATTTCTGTGCCTCAAACAACAAACAGAATTATGGAAAGATCTCATGTAAACTAAATAGCTGTCCTACCCATGTGACTCATTAAAACGATTCCTTGGACCCTGGAAGCCAGATAGAAAAACCAGGTGGAGCAATTTCAACCAGGAGACCCCATTTCTTACTTTGCTTCTCTTTCAAGCTTTCGAAGGAGTGAGCAAGTTTCTTTTGTCTATGTTGGCCGTGGCTATTTAGAAGCACAGGTATTGAGGGGAGGTGCCCTCAAACGTGCCTGAGGTGGACACGGCCCCCTGCCTGCATGAGCACCTCGTGAGGACAGGGGCGCAGTCTGGATACTGGGTCTGTAATTCTGTGTGACAGGTGGACTGCCAGAAGCATGAGGGAGAATTAAGAAATTGAGTTTGGGCCGTGTGTGTGTGTGTGTGTGTGTGTGTGTGTGTGTGTGGTTTTGGAGGCACTGAGAGCTGGCGCTAGGACACAGGTGCTGGTTTCCATTTTAATCAGAAGGCCGGGGAGTCCCCACCTGGGTAGGTGGCAGATGCAGTAACTATATCTGGCTGGCTCTGCAACCCTGGAAGCAGGTTCTGAGGCGGCAAGCGAGGTAAGCAACCACAACCTAATTAATCCCCCCCAGACTTAGACCAAGTTCCCTCTAACCTGAGAGGGCTCTGCCAACCGCGGTGAAGCCGGCGTCTGCGCATAAACACCCACGCGGAGCACACTGCAGAGGGCTGAGTGCTTTGTGATGCCCGCAGTTATCGCTCAATACAGTGCCACGCCAATGCCCTCTCTAACAAGAGTCTTGTTTCTGCCCCAGACGGTGGCAAGCTTGCATGCCTGGAGCACAGCTCCTGCCCACTCAGGGCATTTATGTTGATCAACCCAAGGGCAGCTGATCCTTGGGTGTCGAGACAGATGGCCTCATGCTCAGAGAACCTTCCAGAGCCTTCAAGAATGGTTCCATGAGCACAGGCCAGGCATGTAAAGCATATCCGTCTTCACCCGGTCGTGAGTTGAACAAGGTGGGCAGACTGGAAGCCGCACACAAAACATTTATTGGGAGAGGGACACGGAGGTTGCCCAAGCTACAGACTACTTCAGTTGAAGGCCGAAGGACCCTCTCCACCTCCAGGAAGCTTTTCAGCTCAAGCTGAATCAGTCAGAGAATCCAGCAGGGAAACTAGTTCAGGGTAGGAAGGGGATGGGTGGGATGTTTGGGGTAGGTGGGATGGGGAGCATGGGAACTCCTCAAGGAACTTCATTGGCCACTCGGGGAGAAGGCAGCATTTTCTTCATGAAAAGAAGCTTCGCCACTAGCTGAAACAAACAAAAACATTTGCGTGAGAGCAGCCATGGATGATGATCAGTTGAAGAGATCACAATGAGATTGTAGGAAAGGCAGGAGTCTTGTGGAAAGAAGCTGACCTTTGGAACAAGACAACTTGGGTTTCGTTTCTTTCTTTTATTTTATTGATTTGAGAGTGAGAGAGAGAAGAAGGGAGAGAGGAACATTGATTTGTTGTTCCACTTATTTATGCATTCTTCGGTCACTTCTTGTATGTGCCCTGACTGGGGATCGAATAGGGATGACTCTCTAACCAATTGAGCTACCTGGCCAGGGCCTACTTGGGTTTCATATCTCTGCTCCATGGTTCTTAGCTGTATGACCTTGAGCAAATGACTTAAGCTCTCTGAGGCTGTGTTTGTTTTTACCTGTAAAATGGGGATACTGATGTAGTCCTGCAGGGTTTCAGGGGACATGAAGATAACAAAGAATTTAAAACTGGTGGCACACAGCAGGCACTCACTAAATGGCATTCTCATATTCTTGAAGAAAATTCAGCCTAACTTGCTACTTTTTGTATATGTTTAAAACAAATGTGTGCATTTATTCAGGTGTTCATAGGCATATGAAGAAATTAGCTTGGTTAGAAACATCTAGCTTTTAAAATCAACAGAAATGAGTCCGATAAAAAGATAGTTAAAAGGAGCTCGATGATACGTTTTCCACTTGAAGGGAGGAGGGGTTGGGTTACTTCCACGTGGCTGTCTTCTCTTGCTTTCTGAAGAAAGGGGTGTTACAGAGAGCACTGGAGAGAGCCAGGAGACCCAGGCTCCAGTCCCGGCTCTGCCTCCACCTCCCCGTGTGCTCAATAAAAACCCTTTCCTTCTCTGGGCCTTTGTATTTTTGCTGGAATCATGGGGGTTGGACTACATAATTGCTGTTATCTCTCAGAACTGATACTCTATTCCTTATTCAATGAATGCCACAGAAGGACGTAGGAGGGAGATACGAAGATATAGAATTATGATAATATATAAGTTTGGATTTACTTAAAGACCTGATAAGAAACTAGTCCTAAGACTCATGCATATGCTCCTAGACTCCTTACTCGTTAAAAAAGACCGCATGGCCCTGGCCAGTTTGGCTCAGCGGTTAGAGCGTCAGCCTGCGGACAAGAGAGTCCTGGGTTTGGTTCCCTCTAAGGGCACATACCTCGGTTGATTTGTCCCTGGCCCTGGTTGGGGTCGTGTGGGTGGCGGCCACTAGATGTATCTCTCTCATGTTGATGTTTCTCTCTCTCTCTTCCTCTTTCTCTCCTTCCCGCTCTATCTGAAAATAAGTGCAAAATGTTTTCAGGTGAGGATAAAAAATAATAAATAAATAAATAAAAATAAAATAAAAAAGACTGCATGTACACATCTATGTATATATATACACATACACACATATACATAGACATATATATGTCATTCCTACCCCTTGCCACTCCAGTGGAGGCTGGAAAAGCTGAAAAGTTGTTTCCCAGCATCCCTTGCAATTAGGTATGGTCACGTGAGCAGGTTCTGGTCAATAAGCTACCAGGGAAAGTCCACTGGGGGACTTCTCAAAACATTTTTCCCAGGGAAAGGTCTTTTTGTTGCCCTCTCTTCCTGCCCCCTTCTTCTGCTCATGAATGAGGACATGATGTCTGGAGCTGTAGTAGGCATTTGGCAACCATGGGTGATAAAGATGAAGACAAAAAGCCAACATATCAGCGATGGCTTATCAGAAAGATGAAAAGAGCTTGAGACCTTCATAAAATCACTGAGAGGCCTAGATCAGCCCATTTCTGGAACTCTTAAATAAACATGGTTTATGCCCTTGCTGTTCAGAGGTCACAGCGTGGTGTGTGGGCCAGCAGTATGGGCATCGCCTGAGAGTTTGTTGGAAATGAAGAGTCTCAGGCCCCAGCCCAGACCTACTGAGGCAGAATCTGCATCTCTTTTAAAGAGATGCCCAGGTTTGGGGTGCACATTAAATTTCAAGTGCACAGCCCCATTAATTAGGCTCTATTACACGCAGCTGAAAGTATTCCTAACAGATACCATGTGTGTACAGTGAGTTCTCACATAACATTGACAATAGGTTCTGGGAACTATGATGGAACAATGTATGATGAAACAATTTTACCACAGGCTAATTGATATAAACAAAAGTTAAGTTCCTACAGCATCTCATCAAGAAACGATGTTGAACTCAACGACCTTACTCAAGAACCTGCTGCCCTGGCCCGTTTGGCTCAGCGGTTGGGGCATCGGCCTGCGGACCAGAGAGTCCCGGGTTCGGTTCCTGATAGGGGCACGTACAAAATAAAAAATATAAAATAAAATAAAACCTGCTGCACTAGGTATGTCTGAACACTTATAGGTATGTCCATGTGTGTATGTGTATATCTGTTTATATGATTATAAACAGGTGTACACACATATATGCATATAGATAATATATATTTGTCAATATATTTGTGCATATATATATATATATATATATATATGAATAAAAGAATCCTGGAAGGACAGAGCTAGGCTATGGGAGTAGGTGTAGGGGTGTGTGTGTGTGTGTGTGTGTGTGCGCGCGCGCGCGCACGTATTGGGTAGTTTCAGGGAGAATTCTATCTTAATTACTCTATAGTGTTTGAAAAGAAATATTTTTAAACCGATGAGTTGTGTTCCTTTTATAATTAAATCAAAAAAGAGGCTCACCGGCTCTCCTCCAGGTCCAGCAGGGCGTGGTAGGATGCCACGTCCCGCTGCAGCTGGGACCGGCGGGCCAGCAGATGTTCACGCTCCTGCAGCTGCTGCTCGGCCTCCGCGCGCACCTCCCGCAGCTCCGCCTCCAGCCCGCTGACCACCGCGCCCAGGTTCTGCAGCTCCATGTCATGCCAGTGCTTGGCATCCTGCAAGGTGTTCTCCAGGCCTCGTTTCTACAAAAGAGGGAACAGGTCCAGACTCGAGGCCGACAGGCAAAGCCCTTGGAGAGGGAGGGGTGCAAAGCAGGGGCGGGGTGGGGGCTGGGGGGTTGGCATTGTTCTGTTCTGTCCATTTCTTCAAGGACAATGACCTTGCTAGATTTATGTGGCTTGGTGGAGAAATAATGAATTCTCTTCAGGAGGCCAGACCCCTGTTTAGTCTAATTCACTGATCATTCTGATGGGGTGGGAAATGGATGTGTGTGGGTGGTGGGGGGTGGGGGGGGGTGTCTGAAGGGGAATGAGGGGAGGAAGGGAAGGGGGAGGGGGAGAGATGAGACATAAGAAGGAAAGGTGAGTGAGAAAATGAAAGAGGAAAAAAATGAGAGAGAGAAATACACACACACACAGTTTGCAGGTGTTTCTTCAAAGAAATCTTGCTCTCCCAGCTGCCTCTGAGCCTTTTTGCTCAGGTTTTCTCACCCCCGGGGGGCCCTTTTCCCCTGCACTGCTGAAACCCCATCCATCATTCACCTCTGGGCGCTTTCCCAGGTCACCGGAGTCAGAATGAACGTCTCTGGCCTTTATATACTCTGCAGTTTTTTCTTTGGTGTTTTAGGTGCACACTTTGGCTAATTCCTCTTCCTCTGGCTGCTGCTTCACTGTGGGTTCCCCGGCACCCCATCCTGAACCCATTTCTCTCTGAGCTGTGCCTCCTGGGCCTGTGTTAGTTGGTCTCTCCCACACTCATGATTTTAGTCCTGTCTGCCAAAGACTCCTGCCTGCAGTGATGCTTCCAGCACAGACCTCTCCCCCAAGCACCGTCCCTGCTGGACTTCCTACTGGAAATATGTCCAGTCCAGGGCACCTCAAATCAAGGCGTCCAAAATGGATCCATTGGCTTCCCCTTGGGCTTGATAGTGTTTCCTATTCTGTGCTCCGGCAGGTGAACTCATGAGAACTAGAAACTGGGGAAAGACATGTTGCTGGTCATCTTGCTTCCCTCCCAAATTCAGTCATTGCTGAATCCTGCCCCTTGAATATTCTGAGTTTTCACATTGGTGCCTTCTTCTCCAGCCACGAACAGTCCTGCCTGCTTCTCAGTGTTGCTACGAGGGTCTGATGAGAGGACGCAGATGAGCATGTTCTTATTACTATTGGTATCACTTTGAAGAAATTATGCTTTGGGCACTGTACCAAGTGATTTGGGGACATAAAAGGAATTAAACCTGGTCCCTGCCCTCAAGGAATTAATGTGACTTCACCTTAAGCTGATTTCACCACACGGACCACTCTGAATGTGACTGGGTGCAGATGAGAGAGCTCACCCAGGCATGGGAGTCAGGACCCAGGATTCTTGGTGGGTGCAGCTTCTCAGTGTTTCCACCTCACCTGTGCCAAGGGTGTGAGGAGAGGAGCAGGTAGAGGTGGGCAGACCTGAGGGGAGAATCCCTTCCAGCTAGGGGAAGAACCGTCCGGGGGCTCACGGGTAGGAAAACAAAGGACGAGCTCTGGACATTAAAGTGAAGGTCTGGTGAAGGAAGGCTTTCTGTTGTAGGCCAAACTCAGGCGATCCCAGGGATTCGGGACACTGCGCATGCAGAAGAGAGGGGACAGTAGATAGAGGAATGTCCAGATCGTGCAACACGAGACAGGTGGAATCTACTGGAGGAAAGAGGCGGTGGGTAAGGCTTCAGCAATATTTTGAAGTGGGAAGTGGGAGCCAGAGACCTCATGCTGGGGGACCTTCATTTTATCTGCAGAATAATACTGGTGACAGCATCCGCTGAGGGGCAGAGGTAAGGGTGTGTTGGGGGCTTGCTGAGAATGGAAGCTGTAGGGAGCGGCTACTCTGGGGAACACGGTGCCCCTTGGCTTTGTTCAGTCATTTGTGCTCAGGTTTTCTTCACCAATCAAGTTATGAGCTCTTAGAGGACAGGAACCATCCACTCCACAGTTGCCTCCCCAGGGTCTGAGGGAGCCTTGCACACAGTAGGCACCCGGTATATGTGCGTGGGACGTGTGCTGAGTGACAGGCCACCTGCCGCTGAGGAGGAATTCCTCCGGGCTCTTTTTTGATGATGTGGGCTTGAGAATATGTCCTCAACCTTTTGCCTGGAACTTTCTGTCACCAGAAGAGTGACAATCTTTGGCAGCCACAAGGGCATCTGGGGAAGAAACAGCAGTCCCTTCACTGTGCCTAAAGCAACAAAGGCGAAAGGCAGGATGTTTATCAAGGGTTCGAGCAGGTGAATAGAACAGATCAGTCTAACGTTCACATACCTCTGAATAAACAATGCCATCTCTTTTAGACTTTTTTTTTTTTTCAGTGAAAGTAGCATTGCTGTAAATGGCAGTTTCCTGATTTTTCTTACCTCAGATCCTTCACTCGAACCCCCTTGCTCTGACCCAGACCCCACCAGAGAATGAGTGGGATGAAAGTGGAGCAGCGATGGCCCTGGCCGGTAGCTCTGTTGGTGAGAGCATTGTTCCGACATGCCAAGGTTGCAGGTTCGATCCCTGGTCAGGGCACATACAAGAAGCAACCAAGGCCCTGGCCGGTTTGGCTCAGTGGTTAAAGCGTCGGCCTGCAGTCCTGAGAGACCCGGGTTCGGTTCCCGCTAAGGGCATGTACCTCGGTGGCAGTTTGTCCCCGGCCCTGGTCAGTTGTGCGGGTGGCAGCCACTCGATGTGTCCCTTTCGCATCGATGTTTCTCTCTCTCTCTCTGTTCCTCTCTCTCCCTCCCACTCTACCTGAACAAAAAAGTGGAAAAATGTCCTCGGGTGAGGATAAAAAAAAAAAAAAAGAAGCAACCAAGGAATGCATAAATGAGCAGGACAACAAATCAGTCTCTCTCTCTTCCTCATTCTCTCTAAAAATCGGTAAATAAAAATTAAATAATTAAAAGAAGTAGAGCAATGAGATGCATTTCACATGGTGGCAAGAAGGCCAAGCACCTTCCCTGAGCTGACTGGGCGCCGTGTGACCTTGTTGGCCAGAGGATGATGGGCCCCAGTGAACTGAAGAACTTGAAGGAAGGGAACTGGGGGTGATGGGATGATCTTGGCAACAGGCAGAGATAAAGCTGTTCCTGAGGGAGCCGACTAGAACAAATACCTGAGCTAACTTCACGGCAGGCTGTGGCTCCAGGGGCAGGTGTGGCTGGTGGTTTGATGACGGAGCTGACTGAGGTGGCCAAACTGGGATGCAGGTTTAGGGGGTGTGGTGGAGGAAAGGGGCACTGACAATGGCATCTTGAGGCTGATGGCAGAGAAGGGCTTTGTGGGCCTCAGTGGACTCCAGACCACCTCAGCTACACAAGGATTACATGAACTGACCCCTTCATGCATTCCGCTGTGTACTACACACTGTGGTTTGGTCGGTACACGTGGGCCCCTGGAGGGGCTTCCAGCAGGAGCTGCGCTTGATGAGCTAATGGAACTTCATCCATCCCAGACAGCAGAGGTGGAGTAATAATCATTTTAATTAACGATAACAATGAATGATCTGAGAGATCTGCCACAAACTACAGTGAGTCTGGGGAGCTTACCAGGTGTCTTAGTTTGCAGAGCCTGAAACGGGGATCCTGGTCCATGGAAATAATCAAGGGGATGCTCCCAGGAAAGAGGGGAGCAAGGAAAGCAGGATAGGGCAGGGAAGGTGCTAAGCTAGGAGGTGGTCTCAGGCAGAGTCAGGCAGCCTGATCCCAGGGAGCTTCTGGAGGGTGATTACACCACAGAGCTAATTCCACTTTGAAGCAAGTGAGCTTTTAAATCCCCCGTGAGTCATTGGCTGGGAAGGTGGGCTGGCCTGAGCTCCTGAGGGCAGGTGTTTTCTGTTTGGCTGAGGGCAATTTTCTGGAGAAGAGAGGCTGCTGAGAAGGGGCATCCGTGGGCACGGGCAGCCTACATTCACAGCAGCAGCCGGGTGAAGCGTATCTCCGCTGGGCACTCACGGTATCTGCTCCGCTTGTGATTCGGTATCAGATAATCCTTTCAGGCCTCACACTCCTACGCTGTTACATGGAAGTTCCTGGCACACTGTGACTCACTCGGATGACTACAATCCAACAGCTGAGAATTAAAACTGTCACAAGAAACGCCAGGTCTCTCCCTGGCCCACTCACCAGGGCCCGCAAGGATTCCGTCTCAGCCTGGAGGCTCTGCACCTGGCACGAGGTGTTGTGTAACTCCACCCTGAGGGCAGCAGCCCGCTTCTCCTCCTGGGTCTGGGCCCCGCGGGCCACTCTGCCTGTGGCTGTGGAGAGAGCAGGATGCTGGAGACCCTGAACCCAATCTTCCCTCTCACCCTTTCTAACGACCGCCGCCGCTGCTTCTAACTCAGAGGAAACAGCTGTTGCCCTTAAAGATTCCTCTTTTTCTATAGGTGCCCACACCAGCTTGTATATAAACATTTATTTAGTTTGAACATAGAAAGCATGCAAATAGAATGAAATTCAAAAGGTTTTCAAAAGAATACATGGTAGAAAATATATAGCCCTTTTCTTCCTGTGTTCTAATTACCCAGTTCTCCTGTTTCTAGTTTTGTTATACCTCCTTCCAGAAATATTGCAAATATGTATAATCATCCCCCTTGCTTTGGTATTACTACACCTTAGAAATTATTCTAGTATATCAGCATATATCCATCAATGACACTTTTTTTTTTTTAAATTATTTATTTATTTTTTTGTTATAGATGTTTCTCCTTTTTTACCCCATTGACACCCTCCTCCCTACCCCCCCCCCTTCACCCCGTCCCTGGCTTTGTTGTCCATGCCCACTGGTTATGCATACATGCATATAAATTCTGTGGTTTATCTCTTCCCACCACCCCCACCCCCTCTTCTGAGGGATGTCAGTCTGTGCCCTACTTCCATGTTTCTGGGTCTACCGTATTCCTCAGACTGTTATGTTCATTTTATTCCATATATAAGTGAGATCATGTGGTATTTGAATGACACTTTTTTTGAATGGCTGCATAGTATTGCCTTGTTTGGAAGTAGTGTAATTACTTAGAAGTCCCCCATTGATGGACACTTAGGTTGCTTCCAGTCTTTGCCTGTTATAAGAAGAATAACCTACATCCCTCATTTGTTTTTCTTTTTATTCCTCACCCGAGGATACTTTTCTATTTATCATCAGATAGAGTGGGAGGGAAGGAGAGAGAGAGACAGACAGACAGAAACATCGATGTGATAGAGCCACATTGATTGGTTGCCTCCCACACAACGCGACCAGGGCCGGGGACCAACCGAAACTGTCCGGAATCAAACTCGTGACTCATTGGTCCAAGGGCTGACGCTCTAACCACTGAGAAAAACTGGCCAGGGCCTACATCTCTCATCTTGGGTACATGGGAATACCTCTGGGGGGTAAGTTCCTATTGTGGAATTGCTAGGTTAAAAGGGTGGGCTTTGTAATTTTGCTGAATGTTGCCAAAGTGCCCTTCAGAGAATTTGTAACCCCTTCCAGCACGGCAAGGCAGTGCCAACTGCCCCACCTTCCTCAAATGAATAATTAGCCAACTTGATCTGACATTCCTGTCCTTGAAAAAACATGTCTGGCCATAGTTGTGACTATCAAGGTGAAGGTCTGTGTTTTGAACCTTCTCCCAGAGCAAGATGGACATATGATTCCTCCCCATACATTCAGCGGAGCCGGCCATTGTTACTCCACTCTTTGCTGCAAAAAAGAAAAAAAATGAGAGAGATCACCCTCATCTATAACTTCAATCCAAGTCTGCTGGCATGTCACCAAGCCAGTGATGTAAGAGGAAAATGTGCTTTGTCTCCTAGGTTACTGGCTTTTTGGATTGACCATTTTTATTACATATGAATACTTATTTATAGAATTATGCAAAAATAGTCCAATCTAATTCACTGGCTAAGAAACCTCAATTCAAAAGGCTCAGAGCTCAGTAGTAGTTCTTCCAGCTCTTGTTGTTTGAGGGCTGTAAGGAGCTCAATGAAAATGCCCACTGAAGGCCTGAGATCAGCTGAAGGAGAACAGAAGCTGTGGCCCAGCTCCAATGAGTTGGCCCTTGGCTGTGTGTCCATGGGCCATCAGTCAGCCTCTCTGAGTCCAGGTCCCTGCCCGTAGAAGGCAGATGACAATGAGTGGAGAATGGTAATCATATGATGACTATCTCCTGAATCACTTGAGGCTTCCATCAGGTTATGCATGTAGAAGCTTTTAGAGCCTTAAAAGCAGGCAAATATCGGCTGTATATGTTTTAGGAATGTAAAACATAGTATTAGCCAGTACATGAGTTTGTAAAAGCCACTGAGTCGAATACTATGAATGATAACTGATACATGTGAGGCTCTTGCTCTGTGCCAAGTACTCTGTTAACAGCTTTAAGCCATGATCTCATTCAACCTTTACAATCCTATGAAGCAAATGTCCTTATTAATCCCATTTTACATGAGAAAACTGAGGCTCAGAGAGATTCAGTTATTTATTCAAGATCATGTGGCCTATGAGGGCAGAGCCAGGACTCAAGTATAGCACTAGACCCCAGAGCTATGCTCTTAACCGGAGCTTAATGCTGCTGCTTCCACCAACCCATCAACTTAAGACCCCGAAATTGGAGTTGTCTTCCCCAAAGTGAAGGTGGATCACTCTAAAATACCCTCATTGTCCACCAAATCCTCCTGTGATCAGTAGCCCTGTTTTTCCTTCTCTTCTTGGGGTCAGGGCCTGACCAGATGGGCTGTGTGGGTGGGTGGGAGGCAGTAAGGGGGTGCCCTGACAGACAAATGGAGTCAGGTAACACAGCTACAGAGTGGCCAGGAGCAGCGTGAGCTGTGTGTTCAATTTTCAGAAATTTTGTAAGCTGGCTGTTAAACACAGCCACTATTAAACATTAAATCATATCAATTCACAATTAAATAAGTTATATTAAAAATGGTCATCAATCCTCAAAGTGCATCACTTGCTAATTATTTACACTTTATCATTATCTGTGTTATTGAGGTATTTACACTGATGGTACCTGTGTGGTAGGAATAAATGGTGTGTTCCTGCTCAACTCTTTCCAACCTGTTCATTTACATCAAGTTAGTAGTTTGAAATCAGTCACAGTGAGAATATTGACAGCATGGACATTGGCAAACACTACTAACTGGAGACTGATTACTATTTTACTGATTTTCCAGATTTAAGAAAGGGATGCAGAAAATATTAATAATGCAGATTAAACTTAAAAGTGGGTCATGTCTGTAGCTGTTGCATTGGGAATGGCACAAAAATTAAAGGGGATATTCTTCCAATATTTAAAAACTATTATCTGATTCATAAAGAGGTTACATCATTGATGGATAAACTCATTAAGGTCAATGAAAATACAAACCAAAATTCACATCAGAGCTATCCTCCTTCATCATTGATGTGAGTGACTTTTTGTATAATCAGATATCAATACACATTTTTCTGTAGTCTGATTTTGTGACACTATTGTTGATGACAGAATTATAAAAACAGTTGGTGGTTTTTGCAAGAAATAGCAAGTCACATGGAAGCTACAGGTCAAGTGAAACAGCAAAGTATTTTATCTTAAAATTTGTTATTTCTAAAATTAGATAAATAAAACATCAGCAGAAATTCTATGCCACCTTTATGTGGTATTGTGAGTTTCATTGGCATGTAAATACATATGCCCACATTCCCCCACCAGATTAGCTGTGAAAGGTTGCCAGGACACCAAGGGTGAGAGCCCAGCATGAGTGGAGGCCAGGCCCCATGGAGGGCACGGTTCACAGCCTTGATGGGCGAGTCCGGGCTAAAGCGGTTGGCCAAGGCTATAGCCACAATCCCCATATGATCTGTCCCTCCTGTCAACCCAGACAATGAGTGGCTTGTATTCAGGGGTATGTACTGGTGTCTGGAGGCATGAACCCCTATGTGTTAGTGTCAGCACAATGCCATACCCAAGTATTTCCCAAACATTCTTGGACAACTAGCATGGTTTTTCACGTCTGAATACTAATTCAAACTATTTTTATTTTAACAATTCACTTCTTCTTTGTGAATAAAAGTGTATAACATGGAAACTAGTTCAAGTAATTTACTGGAACTAGTAGATTAGTTCTCAAATCTTAATCTGGGGTTCCTGTGACAATGCAGGTGTCGGTTCAGGGCACGCTGGGGGCCCAGGAACCACGTTCAAAACTCACGTGATGCCTGCTCCATGAAAGCCAACTTCTAGTTTGCTGCAGAAACTGATAGAACTGCTTCCCTTGCCAGAAATAGACAATAACTGAAAAAATGAATAATGTTAAAACAAATCAATGTTATTTTATTCTAGCAAATATCGTCTGCCAAGCAGCTGAGTCGCAAAGCCCGCTTTCTCGTTGTTGAAAGGTGAGATTAACGAGTCTAAGAGGAGTGTTAATGACCTACCAGCTCCAAAGGATACTTTCTTACACAGTTTAATGAAGATTGAAAAAGGAAAAGAAATTGATTTGATCACTATGAATTTCAATGCCATTTTATATCACGTCTCATGCCTTCTCAAACCAGATCACCACATACTTGCCCTTCGTCTGGGAACAGTTAAGTGTCTGAACTCACCAAAAAGTATTACATGTTTTCCTCCAATGGCTTTTTAGATTTATGCTTTCTAGTTATTGCAATAAGTCTATGTCTGTTTCCATTCCAACTCAGTGCCTCCGGATTTCTCCTCACAGACCAAACAGTAGGTGTGTGATTCTCGACCCCGAGGACGGGAAGGCAGGACTGTGTTTTGTTGCTCAGCGCAGTTGCTAGGAGGTATAATGAGATTCAAATATGTTGGTCCCCAGGCTTTCAAACCAGCTTGAAATCTTGGCTCCACTGTGCAGGAGCGGGGCTGCCCGAGGTCGCACCCCATCTATGTTTCTGGGGCAGGGGAGCATGTAGACATTTTGAAATATGGTGAAAATGTTCAAATTAAAAATATTAAATTTCCATGTTGCTGCACGTGAAGGGTGGATGTGAGAGGAGAAAGGCAGCACGCTTCACAGTAGGTCAGAATGGAACACATACTTGAGTCTCCAAATGGAGGGGGAGACGCCATCCCAAACCCGAGCCGCTTTGCCGATCAGCATTGCCAACCCCAGACACATCCTTGGCAGTGACTGGAAGTGGCAGAAATGCCACTGTGTCGTGTGGGGAGAGAGGGAGAGCTTAGGAGGAGGCAGAGTACTGAGAGCCACGAGGCAGTGTGTGCTCAGCAGCGTGTGTGTCCAGGGGAGTGTGCAGGGGTTAGAA